TTAATCACCTCTCTCATCTTTAGTCACCTCTCTCATCTTTAATCACCTCTCTCATCTTTAGTCACCTCTCTCATCTTTAATCACCTCACATCTTTAGTTACCTCTCATCTTTAATCACCTCTCTCATCTTTAGTCACCTCTCTCATCTTTAGTCACCTCTCTCATCTTTAATCACCTCTCTCATTTTTAATCACCTCTCATCTTTAATCACCTCTCTCATCTTTAGTCACCTCTCTCATCTTTAGTCACCTCTCACATCTTTAGTCACCTCTCATCTTTAATCACCTCTCTCATTTTTAATCACCTCTCATCTTTAATCACCTCTCTCATCTTTAGTCACCTCTCTCATCGCCCCAGGTTGTCCTGCTGGATTTCTGTTTCTGTATTCTTGTTTTTGTCTGACTCTGGCTCCCTGTGTTCCCTGCGAGTTTTTTTTTTTTTTGTTAGAATAAAAACATTCTTTTTGAAGGTGAGGAGGAGAAGTGAGCGTTGGGTTTTCGGTGCGTTCAGCTGGGCAGAGCGGCGGGTTGATGGAGGATCTGCTGAGGAGCCAGAGGGTTGATCAGTTCAGCCAGCTCCGTGTTGATGTTGGCCTCCGTCGCTCACAGCAGCGCTGAGCTCACTCATGTAAAGTTTGTGTGAACATATAATCACCCACTGAACCGCCACAGACCGTTTTATAGACTCCCAGAGCTCAGAAATATGCACACATTAATATGAGAACAGCCTCAGACCACTAACCTAACCAGAGCGTCCGCCTCTCGGGTTCTCACAGAAATCAGGACGTTGGTGAAGAAAATATTTACTTCTGTTTGATCAGGACGATGATGCTGTTGGAAAGAAAAAACCTCAAGAAAACAGATGTTCTGGATGTTCCTCCATAAATCATAAATGTTCCTATGAATATTAACATCCAGCTGCATCAAACTGAAGCTGTAATCAGTTTTCAGCAGAAAGGATCCTGACTGTAACTCACTCTGTGTCCTGAAACAGGGAGGAGCTTAATTATTTCTACACATAAATATGTTAATTAGGCTGAAATTAAGCTGGCTGTGTTTTTTTCTTTTAGAGATATGGCTTTGTCTTCATTGGTTTTTAAATATACACATGCAGAAATGTTATTGTTTGCGAACCAATACTATTTTTATTAATAACTTAAACCTTTTTGGGGATTTCTTTGATGATTTAATCCTGTTTTTGTTTTTTGTTTTTTCTTAAAAAACTTTTATATTTTTTAATTTAAAAGTTCAATGTTCAGAGTTGCTTTTGAACCATAATAAATGGAACATTGACCAACATATTGATGGGTATTGATAGTTATGATGATGTTTGTTGCTGGTTTCTCAGTTGTTGACTGCAGGATGTTTTTATGAGGTAAAAGGATTTTGAACTGCATTGTTGCTGAAATGTGCTACAAAAACACATTTTATTGTTTGATATAAAATTCTGCATTTGTTGCTAAAATATTAGAAGCATGTAGCTGACCTGATTAGGAACCTGAGGCTCTGATCCACTTTGGTAAAAACTGCAGTTGAACATCCATTAAATTCACTGGTTTTACTGGAAGAAGATCAATATCTTCCTCTCCCTCAATGATATGTGCATAAAATGTTAAAATACTCAATATTTTAATTTGGTTTGACATTGATGTCTTGAAATCTTCCAATAGATGGCGCTATGCATAAATTAATTAATAAATGTAATTATTAAAAAGAGTAAGATAAGTAACGCAGCAGACAGTGAGTCTGATGCAAACCAAAACGGAATTACATTTTCAGTTAAGAAAGAAAAACAGTATTTTTTTTTTTTTACACATTATGAATTTTTCTTGGATGCAGGGAATCACCGATGTTTTCTTTAGAAAAAAGTTTGTATATGTCAAGAATTTATTCCACATCTACTTTGACATGATGATACATTTTAAATTGTAACTATAGCATTTTGTTTTTGTGTGAATCATTTAAAACTTGAATCTTATGCACAGATCCATCCACACCTCTTATTTTATTAGTTTCATCCCTAACAGGATTCCTCTCTGCCACACTGAGATGTTTGCAACTTGGTGGAAAAATGGAGCAAATTTTTCCTGCTGAACTTTCATCTTTTATTTGTATTATTTTCTGCTATTTGCTTTGTGAATCAAGAGAAAAACGGACATGCAGAAAATGATGCAGAGATGTTTATGGAACTGATGTAACGGATTAAAGTTAAATGAACTGAATTTTTATAACCTTATTCCTCCTATTGGGAGAAAACAGAGTCAGTCCGTTGTTCAGCAATAATTGAATACATTTGAAAAGCAATGCAACACTTTGATGGTTTTGAATTCTGCACCTAAAATTAACCAAAGTGTGAAAAACTAACACTGCTTTAAATGATAAAAACTAAGCTAGTACTAAACAATATTTAATAATAATTAATAAAGTCTAGCAACCTCACACTAAAATTAATCAAAACTAACTGAATTAGACAAATAAAACCCCAAAACTATTTTAACCCTGAATGTAACCGGATTTGGTGAATTTTACTGTAAGTTGTGAGGAATGGCTGAACGACGGCGTCGACGTCTAGCAGGTGGGAGAACAGCGATGGGCGCTGTTTCTTCACTTCCTTCCTGCTCCCACACATTCTTCTTCTTCTCTGGTTATTCAGCTGTCAGACTGCCTGGGCTTTATCTGCAGACACAAATTATCTTCAGGGTTCTCCATTGTTAACTCTGCAGTCTGCGCACACACACAGAAACAATGGTGCTGTTTTCCAGCAGCGTGTGGACCCCTGCAGGTGGTTGCTGCTGCGCTCACAGGCTCCTTGTTCGGTTCGGTTTTACAGCCTGGTTTTCATAGGCAGTCCCATCAGACTCTTTACGCCTCAGCAGCTCCATGTTGGATCTCCTGCAGGTCCGGCGGCTGCTGACGGTTAGCATTGAAGCCGCCCATCCAGCCAAACCTGAACCGGTTTAGCTTTTGTTTATCTGAGTTTGATGCATTCAGAAAAATGGTGCAGATCATTAAGACAAGTTGATTCACGTGAAGAAAAGACAATAAAATAAAATCTTCCACATTTACTGGATTCTCTTGAATTCTGCCTTAGTGTGTGTAAACCAGGCTGGTTTATAAGAGAGGATGCGTTTAATCCAGATCCAGCAATAAAATCATTTAAAGGGGCAGTATGATGTAAAATTTACCTTTTTTCAGCTTTACTTTATGTTATAAAGTTATTCCCTCATCTAAAACAAATCTGGAGTGTTCCTTGATTATTTCTTAAAATCCTTTAATCTCCATGGCAACCACAAGCTGTGCAAAATGCCTGATTGGACTTAGCCCGCCTTTTAGACGCAGGTTAAGTGTGAAAACTCCTTTAGACTAGCCAGCAGCAATTAGCAGCACCTGCTGAGCTTATTATATGAGCCACTTCTCAGAGCAGCGTTGGTTAAAACGTTAAACGGTTAATAGAGGGGAGAAAACGCTTTGATAAAAACATAACCCTGATCCAGAGATCATCTTAGTGAACTCAGATCCAGATAAAGAAAGCAGGAAACCCAGCAGGAATCAGATGCTCTGTGCGACTGAACTTCATCCAGGATCCTTTCAAACTGTAGTGGAAAATGTGAAGCTGCTGCAGCTTGTGAATTATCTGAATAATCACTCACTGAACGTTGTCATTCATCTGTGGCTTAAGATTTTCCACAGCTCGGAGTGGAGGAGCTAAATAACCTGTTAAAGCAGCGCCCAACACACACACGCGCACACACACACACACACACACACACACACACACACACAGGGGGCTGATTTACAGGTGGTGTTAAGTATGACTAATGGTGTCGTTTGTTTTGCTGTCATGTTATTTCCCTGCAGTGCTGTGGAAATGGGCGCGGCGCCACCTATTGGAGCTGATAATGACTTCATTGCTCACTGTGTGCAGGACGGCAGCTCGTTTGTGGGAAAGAGAAACCTGGAAGGAGCAGAAAGTTGAAGAAACCTGTTTTTATGACGGGCGGCGCTGATGAACCTGGGCTTAAAACTTCAGAGTGCTCCAGACCCAAACAAGCTGATCCGGGATTTCTGGGAGGAAAATATTTGGTTTGTCTTCTCACTCTTAAAGGAATCCATTAAAATTTACCTCCAGAGCTGCTCTGTCCTGCATACTTTAGTTTACAAGGTAGGAAACCAAATGAAGTCTGGCCCAGTCCAAACCCGGGAGCCACCAGGTTCTCCACAGCGTTTCCTGAAGGAGGAATGGACTTTGGTTGGAAAGTTCCTACAGACCCAGAAGTTTCTGTGGAAACCAGAACAAAGAAGAAGATTACCATAAGGTTCAGGAACATCTGAGGAAACCTGGAGGGAATAGTAAGTCAACTGACTGAGGAGAATCTGGTTTTTCAGCTCCAAACAGAAAAAACAAACACTTGGTTTTACTCTGGAGACAAATAAAAGTATCTGCTCAGGGTTCTTCAGCGTTACCACAGAAAAGCTGCTTGATTTCTCATGACTGATTACTCCTTGAAAAACTAGTTCAGTTACTTGACATTAAAGTAACTATGTTATATTACAAGTTACTTTATTAGTTACATTCTTCCCTGCTCATGTCTGACCAGCTTCTTCAAATCTCCACAAAATGACAAAATGTTTTTACAAATATTAATGTAGTATTTTCTTATTGGATATTTTGAGAGGTTGGAAGAGTATTATTATTATTATCATGCAGTGCAGAACTAGAATTATATGTTTATTTTTACAGTAAAAAAAAGGTTTGCAATAAATATTAATTCACATTAGCTGACATAAACCTAAAATCAATCCAAATCCAGTAAGAAAATAGTTAAAAAGTTATTATTTTTCATGTTGCATTAATGTTTGTTTTATTTTACTCAGTTAAAAGCGACCTCTACATCAGCAATCAGCTAGTAAACCTGTTCTGGGATCGACTGGTAGTGACTCCTTCCTCCACTAGAGGACGTTCACGTCGAGAAGAGCAGAAAATTATAAAAATAGTAGCGCACAGTAAATTATTAAGTAACTGTAATCGTAATATTCAGTTGGAAAAAGTAACACATTAGTGATGTCACTGTTCCTCTGGGAGCTGCTGGCCACACTAAACAGCTCTTCTTCTGATGGAACCAAATGCATACATCTCAAGTTAGGGTCATGTGACTCCTGGGCTTCTGAAGAGGCAGGTTTCAGCAGAGGTCAAAGGTGAGGCAGCCGGTGAGAGGAGCAGAGTGAGAGAAACTTCATCCAAGTTAACATCGAGAGCCTGTCAGGATTTATTAGGCTGGGTAAGCACACACATGCACACACACACACATGCACGCACGCACACACACACACACACACACATGCATGCACACACACACACACACACACACACACACACACACAGACGTACACACACACACACACACGCACACACACATGCACAGCAGAGAGTCATAAAGAGGCTGCAGATAAGTTAACCTGAAAGCAGGACCCAGTGAGATCATGACAGCTGCAGCGGAGCTGCTTTTCCGCTGTTTTTCTTTCCCTGAGTGAAAGTTTACCTTCATCATGACGGAGGAGGAGCAGCAGAGAGGAAGAGGAGGAGCAGGGCCGGCCCCAGCCTCCATGGGGCCCTAAGCAATGTTTGCTAAAGTGGTTCATTGATATATGAATGCGTTATCAAGCGCACCGTTTTGAAACTAAAAAACCCTCAAACATTTAGGGCCAACAGGAGAATCAAATCATGTAAAGTTAAAACTCAGTTCTACACAAAGAAAAGACTCTGGCTGTCGACTGGACCGTTCAAGGTCGCCATCATCAAGCTAAGGTTCTATCAGCAGCTCCACTAATCTTTCTGATAAACATTACATTACCAAGAGACATTAAAACAAACTTTTACCTCAGCTCTTTCTTCTCTCTGTTGCTGAGGGATAAATCTTTTTTTGTGACATTGTTTTGCTAACTTATCTTCCCCCATGCAGTCTGTGCCTGGCAGCTGATGTTACCAGTGAAGTGTGACCTACCGCGGCCACCAGGGGGCCCCCAAGAGCAATTTATGTTTTGTTTTTGTCCATAATATAATTGTAAAAATAAATCACAACATTATAATGAAATTGTGTGTTTTTGCTATTATAATGACATAGAAATCATTGCTAAAAAAAACAAAACAAAAAAAAAACAGCTCCACATAGGGGCCCCCTTGCTGGCCCCGGACCCCTAAGCGACTGATTAATGATTAGTTAGGTGAACTTGGACCGGCCCTGAGGAAAGAGGGGACAGGAAGGAAGACGCTCATGTTTTAATTAGTGTGAGAATCAACCTGTTGATTAAAATGTGATTAAAATGAGCAGAAGGTAAAACTGGATGTTTAGTTGGTAGCGCTGCTGAAGGTGCAGCAGATGACCCTGCTGGTCCAGGGTCATTGGAGTTATTGTTTCACTGCATCCAGGTTTCAAATTGTTGCATTTAAATCAGTAGTGAAGAAGCTATTAACTGTTTAAATGTCTAAATGTATAATTTATTATTGAGACTCTTATTTTTAAGGTTTTGACAGTCCATCTGCTGTGTTGATGCTCATTGCATTGCTGACTGCTAAAGAAGCAGTATGTGTTTTCCATTCAAGTAACTATGTTGCATTCAGTTGTTCTAAAAATGCTATGTATGTCAAATATAAATAAAATTTTACTTCCTGATTTAACACCTTGAAATTGGGCCTGTCTCTTTAAGGACTCTTTCTGAATCCCAGTTTCTATTCAATTTATCACATAGATTTTAATGTGTTAAAAATTTTTAGTTTATTTTTATTTTTATTTTATTTATTTTTTTTACATACAAAGTTCCTGAGGCGGAACTTTAGTCTTCTGTATTCACGTGTTTCCGATACACCTGTAAATCTGACGCACAAGTATCGTCCGCTAACAACAGCGATGGATGAAAACGCTGCTTCTGTGGCCCCATTTGGCGTTAATTTCTGTTTCTAATCCGACCTAATAGGACACTGGAAAATACAGTAAAATGAGCTAGCCTGTTAGCGGAGCCTAAAGTACCATCTCAATGCTAAACATGCAGCAGCTAATGCTAATGTCAGCGTCCACAGTCCACATTCCTAAAGAAGCTCCATGAATGATCAGAACTTCCTGAAACACTTAATAACACTTTGCTCCAATCTGATGGTTGAAGAACAGATTAAAAACTAAATATATTTGTTGTTGAGCTCATATGTTTATTTATTCAATAATTTAGCAGAAAAAAAGGAATTGATAATCTTACTTATTTTGTTGATGCATAGTGTTTATTAAAATACAGTTAATTAATTTCAGACCCTGAAATCATCTCCATTAAAACATTTAACTGAACCACTGTCACTTCTGACGACATGTTCTTGGTGGAGCAAGTAAACATGGAAACCATTAAAACCAGTCACTGAACATATTGAACCTGCTTTCTGTTCTGGAGATGAATCCAGAGATCATTCCCACAATAACAACATTATTCCTCCTAAACCGGAAGATTTGGCTGGTAGATATTTAGTAAATGTTCTCCAGAGCGTTTCAGGTCCAGATTAAGGTTTCTGGTTCTATTAAACCAGACATAAAAGAAGAAGAAAAATAGCTGATTTATTAAAGAGATCCCGACTGAAACACAGAGACGTGAACTTTTTATGGCGGCTCAGTGGTTCTTAACGAGCCTCTCAAACTGTCAGCACTCGGCTCGAATGAACGGCCTCGGCTTCCCAGAGGCTTCCGACGCAAACGCGGTGCCGCTTCCGGGCGGCGGTCTCGAGAGACCTGGGAATACCGAGAGACGTGGGAAACTGCGACGACGAAGGCCGTTTCCACAGGGGAGAGCTCCTCCTGTGACTGCCATTTACTCGTTTCAGGAGATTCTTTAGGACTTTATTTGACAGTGGAGTGATGGGAGCCACCGGTCAGGGAACGCTAACGCCGCTGAGGCAAACATGGAGATATTTTATGATATTCACTGGTGATTTCCAGAAGTCATGCTGTGTTTTTCCTCAAAGCTAATTTATGGCCGCCAAAGGAACATGTTTGCATGGCGTTTTACTGCAACAGATTTACTGCAACAGGCTAGAACTGTGTCCAGAGGCAGCCGAGGAGTTTATTCTGTTTCTTTGTTTTTATTAGCTGTCAGATATTTTCCAGAGATGGTCAAATGTTTGAGAGAAGAAGAGAGAAAGCACTGAATGAGGAATCTTTACTTTTGCAGGAGCTTATCCAGAAGAACCATCCCTTTGCCTTTTGCTCCAGACCAGAATCTGCCTTGAGATTCTTCTAAATGTTCAGCGAAGGAATGGAAATACATCAACAGGGGGAAATCTTCACTGAAACAAGAGTCTAATGTGCGAGAAAGTTCTTGAAACAATTACAGCAAAGGTTTTCTTCTTCTTCTTTCTTCATCCTAAACGAAGCTGAGATACAAACATCCCAGAGAAAGTTTACATCTTGGTGTCGTGGTTTGAATGGATCTGACAGACTCCAGAGCTGCCGTCTCTCTCTGCGGCTCCGTGCTAACGCAACCTGACGCCTGATCTGAACGCTGGAACACACACAAACACATGTACACAGTTTATTTACTGTCATCCTGTGGGCCGCTGGCGGCCTGCTTTCTGGTTCTGCCCAAGCAGGACACGTCACCTGCTCATCTGGAGAAGATGCTCTCTGTTTTAGATTCAGCTGTTTCCCTGAACGATGCGCTCCAGCAGGACTCTGATGTCAGACGGTGAAATCATCCTGAAGGTGGATTTTTGAGCACAGCCTGCAGTGAATCACTGCTGATTCAAACATGATCAGTCAGCAACTGTGGAAACTCTGGCGTTTCCACGCTCAGATTTTACTAAAATATGTCTTACCATCAGTAAAGTAACAGCAGCACTTCTGGTTAAATACATCGATGCTTTATAAAAACGAGGAGTTTAATCAGTTTGGGTGTGATGGACCAGGGTCGGAGGACATTATCAATGATCCCAGAGCAGCAACAGCCACGTTTAGTCCGCTTTAATCAAACTCTGGTCCATTTGTCTTGAACGTCCGGTTCAGTTGGGGAGGTGTGAATGCGCAATCAAACTCTGATACGGACCCAAAAAACAAACTCTGGTTTGCCTAAAGACCAACATCTCAGTTTGGTTGAAGTGAACTCTGGTGCAGACTGCATGAATATGTGAACACCAAGTGGACTAGAGTCCTCTCAAAAGCAGGAAGTGAACTACAGCTCAGGGCATTCTGGGTAAATACAACTAAAACAAATGCAAAAGTCTAGCTAGCGAGAGAAATGGTTCTCCTTTTACCGAAGACCAAAAGAGAAATCCTCTGAAATCTGATGCCACTTCATTTTTGTTTCCATCTGGTGAAGAAGGAAGTTGTGCTCAGTGTCTTCAGAGGTTTGTGTGTTGTTTCATCCAGTGGTTCTTGGTGCAGCGCCCCCACAGGCCAGGAGGGGAACAGGTTTGAATTAGTGCAGCGTAAAAGAGAACCGCACCAGCTGAAAATGGAAGAAATAATGTTATTTTGGACGAACCGAGTCTGCTGGATCACCAGGTATAAAAACAGCCTAACTTTAGCAAAGCTGCATCTGCATGCACTGGAAGATTTCTGGGACAATGTTCTCTGGGAGCAGAGTTGACATGTTGGACAGAACCAAGCCCAATAGATCAGCACAAACACCAGGAGTCAAGCACGGTGGCGGAGGGATGATGGTCTCTGAGCGCCTTAAGCACATCGAGTAAACCCTGAGCTTCTCTGGAGACCGAAGTTTTCCAGAGCCCAGCTTTAGTCCAAGCTGAAGCCAGGTTCAAACAGAACCATGACCCAAACAAATCAGCAGATTTACATCAGAACGGCTGAAAAAGGAACTAAACAAAGTGGTGCAATGGTCCAGTCAAAGTTCAGATCTTCAGACGACTGTAATGCTAAATTTCAGTCTGTAGAAACCTCAGGAAAATGTCTCCTCAACAATGACAGACTGATAAAGTCAGACAGGAAACTCTTACACTCATGAACTTAACTTCTACACATCATAACAGACATTTCTGCGTCTTGTTAACAAAAACAAACAGAAACATCAAAATGTTTTCCACTTGCTCAAACAAACAGCTGCTCCCAGGTGAAGCAGATCTGTTTGGAGCAGAAGATCAAACGTGCCTTCAGCATGTTTTCACTCTTCACTGAAACTGAGGATTCCTTTTGAAATCAGATTCTGGTTCTGGTTCTGGTTCTGATTCATCAAAGACGTCTCAACCGCATCTGCCGCAGTCGACTGCTGGAACAGCTGCGAGTGTTTCTGATCCCAGAACAGCGAGACACAAACAGGATGGAGAGAACTGTGGTTCCAGCTTCAAGCTGCAGTTAAATCAGATGAAAGCTGAGGACACCATCCGTCCCAACATCTATTGTCTTCCACTTATCCGTGGTGACACCGAGGCGTTCCTCAGGGCGGTTCCTCCTCAAAGACCTGGATTTTCTCCCAGTAAAACATTCTTGGAACAGCTTCAAATAAAGGCAACCAGCAGATATCAGAACCACCTAACTGGGCTCTTTTCAATGGAGGTCTTCTTCTTATCTCTAAGGCAGACATATTTGCTACAGGAAGTCATGCCTGGTTCACATGGCAAGATAATTATTAGAGGGTTTTTTTTTTTTGACCAAATCTTCAGAACTTTAATTTGGGTTATTTAGTCTGAGACTAAGAGAAGGAGACTATTTTCACCATGTTATTCATTCATTTAGATAGCAAGCTAAATAATTAGCTAACATGCAAATTCAATTGCCGCTAACCAGAAATGAACCACCAAAATAAAAGCTTGGTCTTGACCGTTCAGAAAGTGAAGTGACATGAAAGGAAATCCAAAATACAGAAAATCAAATAAAAGTGGACTTTCTGGTTCGCTACAGCAACAAACTTTGACCGCTGCTTCTCCCAACAGTCGGCCATGTTTGTTTTTATTCTGAACTCATGTTTGGTTCTGAGAGATTTAATGAGATTTTCCTTCTGCCATCTGAGTGTTGGAGAGTCAAACTGGTTCATATGTGGAGTCGGAAAGTAACTAGTTATATTTACACAG